TAGTATCTTTAGACCAAAATTATTTTGAATTTAATGGACAGATTTATATCTCTAAAGAAGGTTTGATTATGGAAAACCCACCTAGGCCTTTGTTAGCCGAGATTTTTATGGATAATTTGGAAAATATCATACTAGAACATCCTTTAAGTAAAAGTTTTTTATGGTGGTATAGATATGTGGACGATGTCTTTGCTTGCTTTGTTGGAACGGACAGACAATTGAATTCTTTTTTAAATTACATTAACGCAATACATAATCGTATAGAATTCACTGTCGAGATTGAACAGGATAACTCTATTAATTTTTTAGACTTAACTATTACGAAAGTGCAAAACAAATTAGATTTTTCAATATATCATAAACTTCACACACGGACACAGTCTTACATAACAGCTCAAATCACCCTTATACACACAAAATGTCTGCATTTAACTCTTTTATACACAGACTTCTTAATACGCCACTCTCAACAGAAAATTACAACAAGGAACTTAATATCATTAAACAAATAGCACTGAACAACGGTTATAATCCGTCCATTATAGATAAAATTATAAATAAAAAACAAATGCAGACAACAGTAAACTCTATTTATCCGAAACCTAATACAGAACACGAACAATTTAAAACAATTACATACATAGGAGAACCTAGCGAAAAAGTTTCAAAACATTTGTCAAAATGTGGTTTAAAAATAGCTTTCAGAACTAACAACACAATAGGAAAATATTTAAAAAACAATAAATAGAAATGTCCAAAATCCCAAAAATCAGGTGTCTACAGGTTGAAATGTGGAAAATTTATATTGGACAAACAGGTAGATCCTTCAAGACACGCATTAACGAACATATAAGAGCGTTTAAAAACAATAGTCTAGATTCTAATTATGCTACACAGAAAAATACAATTTTGACGACAATTTTGATATATTACACACAGCCACAAAAAGTAGAAAATTAAATTTATTGGAAGCCATGGAGATTAACAAAATGAGACATTCAAATGTATTGCTTAACGAGCAATTAGATTTAAATACCTCTCCTTCATTGAACTTAAATTCTCGCAACAACATTAATTAAGGTTTAATGGTCATTTTTCGGTATATATAGAAGCAGGTAGTTTGTAAATATTACTTTTGATAAAGAGACGGTGTTGTCGAAACAATTGTCATGTCATAATATATAATTTCGTGAAAATGTGGACTCTTTACCAACTTAATAGAAGTCAAAAATCTACTGTGTAATGTTTTCTCGTTAGCGTATATCTATATATTTTTGGAAAGTAACAACATCCAACCTAAACAAAAATGGGTGTATACTTCGTTACAAATTTTATTTTCGAATTATACTTGTGTCGTGGTTTCACGAAAAAAAAATGAATTGGCAACAGCGGCGGTTTTGTTAGAGTACAGGGAGGGACCCGCCCGTAAGATCCCGATAAGTGACCTGTGCATCTGACCTTACATAGGTTGTGATATCGATTATCGTTCATTGTAATAGTATAATAGTACTTTCTCCCTCTTTTCGATGAACTCGGAAACCTGCTGACAATAAATAATCCGATTCAATTTTTACAGACTTAGTAACGCGTTTCAAAAAAGCTCCGGCGTCACTCTGCCAAAATTTTGCACAGGAAAGCTTTACTTGAAATTGCAATTTTTTATTGTTCAATCCTCTTTTGCATTTGCTCGTTTTTTTATTGCAAAATGTACCATCAAAAATAATTCTCTGTTCAATTCTGTTCAATTTCCACGACGGACGCCGCTGTAAAAAGTCTGGGGAAGCGAGGAGGCGTCGTATGGCGTCCATTACTTCGCAGGGACGCCACCTGAGGTACCGCATAGTGGCTTTATTGAGAAAGCTCCTGCGGGACCCTTTCTTGCTTGCAGCGGGGCATATTTTTAGGGCGAGGCCTACTACCGGGATGCGCAGGCCGTGGTACGCGATGATATGATCATTGACATTCATTTGACCAAACCAAATTCTTTTTTCATTATTGTAATTACAAATTCTGGTTATTCGTACATTTTTAGCCCTTTGCGTAATAACAAGGGTAAAATCGATCGGTTAAAAATTAAAAAAAAAGGCTATTTCGTAATATTATACCCGAATCATAATTGAAAGTGATATTTTTTGGATTTGGTCTAAAGCCGAAAATCTTATAAATATCGAATACAAATTGATAGAAAAATAGTTACTAATCAGTAAGGTTTTCTTTTATTAAGTACTTTTCATAAGTAATTATAATTATTATATTATAACATTATAAATAGAGGAGAGTTAAAGTTATCAGAAATAAATCGACTTGATGGTTAAAAGTCAAAAAAAATTATAAAAAACTAAAATTTTGGACACGATTGATAATAGGCTGAATTCTGGCCTTATTAGCCTGTTAAAAGCCGAGTCGGAATTACTCAGACGGAGGCTCGGACCACACTTTTTCAAATACAGCTGCAGACCGTGGAAACGTGCGGAGCTACTTAGTCCGCCCTCTTTGGCATGTTTGTTTTGCCCTCGTTATTGGAAAAAGCTTTTCGTAAGCACATAATAGGTTGTTTTGATTTATCGGCAAATATCTCGGCCGGAAGTTTGGATTAAACGCCGAGCCGCACGACTTTATTTAAAGATGTCGGACCGGGGGGCTTTATGGCCGATTATTCTGCTCCGCAGTTTTGGTCAGTTCTTTCGGTGACCATTATGTTTTTTCATTTCGCGAACTTTTTGCTTGTTCCCCCAAAACGGCGTAATCAATAATAGTGAATCGGAACTTCGTATATGTTATTACAGATTTTAGTAGCATTTAAATGCAATTAATTTTTGCTTGGCCCTCGCCTTATGGGTTTGTTCATTAAATCCTTAATTCTGGTTTTTAAAGTGACGCTGGAGAAGAGGCTCGTAAAAGTGACGTCATTTTCGGATCGTAAGTAGTCGCTACTCGTCTGTGGTCCGAAAAACACGTCGAATTGACGTGAAAAAAAGGATGTCTTATTAACATCACAAAAATTACTTGCAAAAAGAAAAAACAACAATTTAAAAATCGTTTTATTTTTAAACACCAAAACCAGACGTAAAAAGGTTATCGCTAATATAACCAAAATTGACGACACTAATTGACGTACAAAAGGAGTCACTTAAATTACATTTTCGTCTGAGACATTAGTAGGTCAAATTCACGTCCTGCTGACGTCATATATTTCGTTCTTCGGTGACTAATTACTGACATCATTTTGATGACCCTCTGCTACCTGGGATGTTTCGCTATAAACCTTTTGTTAAGTATTGACATTTTCAAGCAATTTTTTTATGTTAGTTAGACAATAACGTACATTTATGATGTCTCAACTTGCGATTTTTTTTTGGGCATTTGATAAAAGGTCAAAAATATCTTTTTTTTAAATATAAAATATATTATTAAACAGAGAAAAATCGATCCTTAATCAATTAAAAAATATCAGGGCAACAGTATTTTAAGATTGTGCATGTAAATTACAAAATTTCCAACTAACTTTTTATTTTACATTTGTGAAAAAAAAAGGTGAAACAAAAGTTTTCAGGATTTAATCGGTATATTTAATCTTATATACTTATTTATAAACAAAAAAGCATAATCAATCAAACTTATATTTGGTTAAATTGGAAATATTGCTTCATAAAAAGAAAGGTCCTATGACACTCATTTTGAAAACAAACTTTAAGGTCGGAACTAGTCAAAAATAGTCATTTAGTTGGCCATGCCGTAATTAAATAAAAAACGTTGGTCAACTTCTTTTGTAGAATATATAGAATATTATTAATATTATTATTGAAAATTCCACAAATGAGTATTATTTTGAATTTACCAAAAATTCAGCATTTCACAGACTTCCGCTGCAGCAGGGATGCCCAATAGAAAAAGAAAATCTTCGACAAAATATCAGAATCAATGAATTAGCGGAATTTATATGGTAGCAAGGTGGTGTCCTTCCTCATGCATAAACAACTTAGATTGGGCGATACGGTGCATTATAATGGCGAGCCAATAACCCAGCCAAATTTACTTTGCACTGTATATCATTATAGATGAAATTAAAAAACCAGTTAGGAGTAAAATAGATAATATCAATTATTTGAGATATCTTTTCAACATTTAGCGCACTATTCCTAATCAATAAATTTGTGTTTACCTATTTGTATTATCTATATGTTTTTCATATAATATGTTCGTATTTGCATTGTTGTCATTTCTTACATACAATGACAATATTTCCATTTTTTTTTTGTTAATTAAAAACATAATTCATTTATCAAGTTCTGGACAATAATAATATTGAACATATGCCGTAACTGTCACTTAAATTATTTTTCATTCTAAATATTATCCAGCGCTTGTATTTACATGATTTTTTGATCCACCTTGTATATAAATAATTATACTTTTTTTTTGTACTTAAAGTGTTAAATTGTCTTCTATATATATATATATATATATATATATATATATATATATATATATATATATATATATATATATATATATATATATATATATATATATATATATTCTCACGTATTGATTCACGGATGGAAAAATGTGATGACACTATATTCCGGGATATCATCCGTTCGCTCGTTGAACTCCGACTGGAATCCTGCATCCGACTGGAATCCTGCAAATCCTGCATCCGACTGGAATCCTGCAGACGTTTCGCCAAAATCTCACTTGGCATCTTCAATGCTCGCGCTCCAGTGTTCGAAGTGTTTTTGGAGCGCGAGCATTGAAGATGCCAAGTGAGATTTTGGCGAAACGTCTGCAGGATTCCAGTCGGATGCAGGATTTGCAGGATTCCAGTCGGATGCAGGATTCCAGTCGGAGTTCAACGAGCGAACGGATGATATCCCGGAATATAGTGTCATCATATATATATATATATATATATATATATATATATATATATATATATATATATATATATATATATATATATATATATATATACTAGACTGGGCGACAAAGAGACTGACCTTAATGATATCGGTGGCAGCATAGTAGTTTTCCGCCGGTATAGTACCGTTCGGAGTAGAGTTCGGCGCTTGGTAGTTTTGCACGTCGTAGGTGGGCGGTCTGGAAGATGGCGGCGGCGGAGGAGTCAGATTGTAAAACGACGGCGACTTGAATTTGAGCTCCTCTTGGAAACTGTTCACGCTGGTAAAATCTGCGAATAACATAACGTACGCGTACTTAAGTGGACTTTAAGGTATACTTACGACCGCACCAATTTCTCCCTCGATACCGTTTCCCGAAAAACGGCAATAAATACGGGGAGTCAAATGCTAATTGTATGTATCATACGGCGCTTCAAACGGGGTTAGAAACGTGGTGAATTAATTAACTCGCGTGTTGTAGGCAATTAAATTTGAGACGCCGCACCAAATTCATCTGAAACTTGCCACCGGTTTTTTTTTAAATGATATGAATTGATAAATCTATCTAACATTTACATAATGTTATACAAGAAATGAAGCGGTTAAATATAGAAATAATGATAATTAGTGAAATGTGATGGCCAGAATCATCATCGCATAAGCGATCAGACAGTGTACTAGAACGCAAATACAAAATTTGTAGCACTTGATGCGACCTATGACACCACTAACCTACACTTTGTGCCATTGTCTTTCTAAACAGCGATTTCCACACACTTATCTCGTTTTCCCAGAAGATTTGAGGAGATTCAGATATATTTTGAGAATACTGCCGTGAAAATGCCGTATCCGAACTTATTGACGATCTGTGAGCGGCCATGTTCGTCGTTAAATGCAAGGTCACTGGTTAAGAGCGAAATTTTAAATCTCGCGCATGCGCCTGTTGAATGGAGCGTTTCAAGTTCCTGTATTATCCTATATGTAGTAGATCATAAAAATACAGAAAATTTACTGTTATATTCTATATTTTCTTTATAAAAAAAATTAAAAAATATTTCATTTGGTCTATACTGTAGCTTTTAATGTTTTCTTTTCAGTAGCTTACACAGTATCTACGGCACAACCGCACCGTTGAACTTATCCGTAAACGCCGCGGTTACGGACCTGCCTCCGCGTCTAGATAGTATTTAAGAGGAGACGTGACTCCATTTTCTCAAAGTGCAATCGCATCCAGGGAGGAGTCTACAGGTTTCCCCTGGAAATTTACATTTTAAAATTCTTACTTTGCCACGTCAGTCCGTTACTCGCGAACGTCTAGCCGGAGTCTGGATTTTCCCCGTTTTTCACAGAATAAATATTTTCATATGGAAGTTTTAATTCGCGGAAATGCGTCGCGCCGTGTCACTCCGGTTTGGCGAATAGTTTTAACGCGATGTATGGCGGATAAGGGGGCGGCTCGGGTGGAAAAACAAAATAACGCGCTTTCCGCGTCGGAATATTAACACTTTTTACTGCCCGGAAGATAACGGGGCATTGATATAATACGGTCTTGTCGGATCCTGACTAGAATTTCCATTATTATCTCGATCTCAATAAAACTCAGCATTAGGAAAATCTTCGCAACTTCCCGGGCAATAAAGTGGATGTATTTAAGAGCACTAAAACAACAGACATTTTACGATTCGCAATAAAGGACCTCCCCCCCCTCCCATTCGTCGCCCCCCTGAATCCCAAAGGAATTCTTAAATTTAAGTTCGCCCAAGTTCGTGCTGCATAAAAAAATATATAATTACGCCGCTCTTTGTTCTTCTTCGATGAAACCCGGTGGTCTTTACTGTACTTTAAACAGGTATTATTCCAAAAAAAAACACTGTGTAAAGTATAAACGATATTCTGGTTAGTTGCGAGGTAGAATTCCTCTTTAATAATCTCTATGCCTGAAACTTTGAACAATATTTCAGATATATTTAAATCCGAGAATCTGGAAGCAAACACTTCACCACAACCTTCCAATAGCAATAAGGCCGAAAGCAATCCTACACTTGCGACTGTGGTCTTTCCTTACATTGGCAACATCACTGACCACATATCAAAAGTTTTAAAGAGGTGTAACGTCAAAACCAGATTTACCACTTGTTCAAAAATCTATCAACATCTGCGATCCGTCAAAGACAAAATTCCATTTGAGATGCCAGGAGTCTACAGCATTCCACGCATATGCGGCAAAGAATACATTGGAGAGACTGGACGAAAAATATCAACTACACACGAAAGAGCTGTTGCCGAACACACTCATGAAATTTTATTCGATAAAAATGTTCTGAGGCTGTTCCTCTATCGACCACCTTTAACATCTTTGGAGATTCCGGACTATCGAGATACAACAACTTCCGTCCTAAAATGCTGACGGCCAATTTTAAATTAAAAGCAATTTTCCGCGACCGCCAAATCCCGGAAGCTTACCTGTCTTGTAATTCATAGAAATTCCCGTGTTTGCCAAAACGCAACGCGAAAGATATAACCGCTTCCTTGAGGACCGGCATTAAAACCTTCTGTAACACGAAAAACGCCATGTTGTCTGTCACGTTCCCTGAACGAGTAAAAGCGCTCTCCTTTTCCGTTGTTCTCCGTGCCAGCGGCGCCGTCATAATTTATGGCCGGGTTATAGATTAAAGACGACCCCATTTGCCGCCGTGATATGATTCATTTTTTTGTTAGTTTTTTTTTTTAAATTAGAAATGGCTTGCAGAAAATCCAGCATCTAACTTTAACCCATAGCTTAAGATACGAATGGATGTCACGCACATACAACTAGAAAAGCAATTTGAAATATACGACCGCACAATAAAAATATATTGGACCCGGAGAGTACGTTCATATCATGTCATATCAGTATGACATATCATGAGAGGTGATAGGTTCAAGTTATTAAGTTTGATTCATAGTTGAAAGACCTTCGCAAGAAGAAGAAAAATCGATCAAGCTTCAGCTAACTTGCCTCAAAATAATATCATCTTAACGAATACGTGACATATACACGGGTTGCAGTGTTGCCGCTTGTATTGGAAAGTAGGCTTGATTGCGAATTTTTAAATCTTGGTTTGATGAAAACGCGATTGTAAATGTAGAGACATTAGTGTTGTTTGGTAAGTCATTATTGATCTCTGCTTACGATTCATCGTAATTGCACTACAACCTAAGCGATGATAATCAATCGATAATAGACGCAATAAGTTGAACAGTTGCCTAATTCCTTACATATAAGAAATATTTACATAAATAAAAATTAAAAATATTAAAAATTATTTTCCAATAAGGTGTTTACGTTTCTTTTGCTCCACTAAATGAGATGGACTATACTTGGGACTCAGGCTAATCCATGGGGACAGTATTGGTAGATTGCAAGGCGTTATAGCTACGATGATGATCGCAGGCTGTAAACAATTTTTTTTTTCAAAAATAAATAGCAAATTTGGACGATTTTTGTAAATACCTTGTACATTAGAATCTTGGCAATATACTTTCCCCAGAAATTAGTAGGAAGCCGATATAGATAAATAATAATAAACAAAAATAAAGAATTTATGTCGATGAATAAAGTACAACGTCCACCTCATTATAAATGAATTGAACTGCTTTAGCATTTGTTTAAATTTGTCGTACACCTCGCCGAGGTGCGCCAATGGTTTTGTTCATCTGACGTGCGCTCTCGTTTGCGTAAGACACCTTAGCATGTTAGAACCATAAAAAAGACAGGGAGAAATGGCATCTTCGGTTCGGTTTGTTTCCTGAACCGTAAACAATTTGATAAGGGTAAAATGTTTATACGTAACCCTCCGGGAAAGATGTTTTCAATTTCCGATCTACGAGCGTCGTACAGTCAGACGGACGCATGTAACGTTTCCACCGGATGATTATTTTATCCCATAACGCATGGAGTGGTACCAAAAGTTCACCACTTTTCATTTTAATTCCATAAATCCCTGAATACGTACCTTAGTACATATTTTTTAATTTTCATATCTATGTTTTGTATTATAGTTTTTTGTGTTAATTACTATTGATTGTGTTGTGTTATTATTATTAATGTTGTTAATTATTTTTGAAGAAGGACTTACATACTAAAAACAACATCGGAATTCTGCTGTTATAACGGTCAACAGAAACATAAGGAGGGACACTCCACTCATGTTCTCCATGTTATCAATTCTTTCTTTCTTAATCACCATTTGAAGATATTAATCCTAAGTGGCTTGTGCATTTAATGATAAACTATCTAGCAACTTCCTGGCTAGTAGAACTTTCTGGTTTGCTGGGCGCTGTCTTCGCAAAATTCTTTAATAGTACATGGTTCTAGAATTCAGTATTAAATTGAAAAATGATATAGCTTTTGATTATAAATTTAAAGTCAGTGGTTGCCAACCTCTTCAATGTGTTGAGCTACTTTGTTAATTTTGTCAGTGAAATTGTTTATGTTTAATATTATGAAAATTCGATTTTTTTTGGGAATTTTGAAGCATGCCTGATTTTTGCACTTTGTATTTTTAAAATTAAAATCGTTGTGAGAGCTACTATAGACACAAATCTAAGTTTTAAAATTCATATTGAAAAGTTCATAAAAAGTTTACTTTTCAGCGACATTTTTTTGCATAAAATTGTTAATAACAGAGAAGACTGTCTAAAAGTGTTAGAAAAATTATGGTAATGAGTAGGACGCCTTTTGCAAAGAAATTATGACAGTTACTTTTTGCACAAATATATTGTTGTTTTTTTACTCGATTTATTTAGAAATCATTCGGGAGTAATTCTACTTTCTTTCTTTTTTTTTGCTTAGAAATATTTAATATATTTATACTTCCCCCTTCTGAATGTAATTATTCTTAGTGTGCAACTATTCTTACCTCTGGCAATTGTGAGTTAGTTTGTCATTTCAGTGTACCCTTTTATAAAAAATGAAAATAAAATAAATAAATTTAAATAATAAATAAAATTTAAGCTGGCTTTAAGTTTTGCAGCTCGAGATATAATTAGTTGGTCACGTAAAATTAGAGTATTCACTCAATTTAAAATTTACTCATACTGTAAAGTCTGTTCATAGATATAAGAAAGTGACTAACTGATACGAATTACGGAAAGACCCGGGCAAGCTGTAAGAATGAAATATGGCCAAACAGGTCCGTACTTTGCTTAGAATTTAATTATTTGGGGTTTTGTTAGGAAAGTTACTAAACAATATTTATTTATTTATGTATGTATTTATGTTTAAATTTAAAATAAAATTATAAATTAGTTTTATTACCTACTTAAATTACTTAAAATTATTCACATAATATATCAGTATCACTATCGCTATCATCGCTTGTTCTAATCATTATTTGTTCTATATTATTTGCAATATGGACATATGATTGTTCTGCTTTTTCTATATGTTTAACAGAATTTGCCCAACTTTGTGGAGGGATGCTAAAAACTTCGGTTTCTATAAGTTTGAGGACATTGGAGTTAAAACATTGTTACGACGAATGGCAGATTTCAGTTGGTGCCAAACATATTCAATGGGATTAAATGTACAGTGGTAAAACTGTGTGCCCTAGATTTTTTGCATAATTATCACAGACGTATTCCTTTTGTATGTTCAAGGTTTGTAGAACCTCAATTAATTGCTTTTTGGTATAATCTCCGTGAAAATAAATGTCGTTATTATACATGTAGTTTTGGATTGTTGCTTTTGTGTCACATGTCTTGCATTGTCTATTACAATTACGCTATTAGGAAAACTATTTGGAACTAGTTTGGAACAACTTTCAAATAAATCAGCGTTGGTGTCTTTATGGTAATCTAGAGAAGAATCTTTAATATTTTTCGCATTCAGAGAAAGTTCATTTGGAATCCAACCATCTTTAGAGCCAGCATGCAAAATAGTTATTCTCTTACCTCTTTTTGATGGCGCGTTTATTTTGCACTTATCAGTTGAGTCAACCCAACCCTTTTCCGGGGTATCATAAGTGTCGAACCAGGTTTCATTCAAGTAAATAATTTTCCTTTGTTGTTCTCTGTAAATCCTATTTTTTTCTAGATATTCTGCCATTTTCGAATTCTAAAACATTGCATTAAAAGTTGCCTTTTGTCAATTTTTTAAAATCTAAAACTCATGTGTTGAATACACTCGCATAAGGTAGTTCTGCCACATTCAACACCGGTTTCAGCTTTTTCAAGCCTCGTAACTAAGATATCTAATGCAGGCACGCTTTGTTCCTCGTATAAGCGGTAAATTTTACGCCGTATTATATCTTGATTACTTTCATCTACACTCTATATTATTCACAATTTTCCATAGAGTTGATGTTGGAATTTTCGTCAATGTGGCCGTTTCTTTTAAATATGCTTGCTTGCTGGCACCACGTTTAATGAGAGTCAAATAAACATTGTTTATAACTTCCTTAGTCTCAACAAAATAATGTTTTCTTCACTACATACACTAGACTCGCACATATTTTACATATTTTGCACACGATTCAACACACGCTGTATTACACACGAAATAAGAATGATTACTAATAAACTTAAAGTAAGTAGTATACCAAACCAAAGAATATTAAACACAGGTAGATATAAAATTATTTTCTATGAAAGACCCCAATTTTACCTGAATTTAAATTCCGAAACTTTAGGTAATAATCTTGTTGCATTGCTTATTAATGACCACCCTTGGATAATCCCTTTCAAAAGCAATGGGTCACATTCTTATATCTATGAACAGACCATACCTGCATTGTGAAACCGTTACTATGCGAGTGTACAGCATTGCACCGATCGCTCGCAATGTTTATATTCGACGCGGTGTTGCCAAGTCGGTCGCTCTAAATGTTCTCTAACTTTTATGACAGATTCATACTTTTGAATGATTTTTTACGTTCGGGTGGTACCAAACCTTATTAATAAAAACGGCTTAATCGACTTACCGGTGTATTCTCCGCTTTTGCTCGACGATATGGCGTCCTTCTTCAACAAACACCCGTACTCCTGTTTCGCGTTGGGAAGTAACTTGTACGGCTCATGGTACACGGACGAGTTCTCGCTGTCCGACTCTTCCCCGTTAACGTGACCGTACACGTTGTTTTTTTTCTGTTTTTTCCCATCCACGGTGCCGACGGTACCGTTTTTACTTTTCACGGATAACCTGGATCGCGACAGGCCGTTATTAATGATGGGCGTCGACATGTGTTTCAGGTCCTTCATGTTGATCGTCGTCGGTTTGGTACTGCTCGATACCAAAGCGGTGTGTTTGTGCAAAAGCGCAACCTGCAACAAGAGACTGGAGTTGGTATACTTGGAGCAGAAATATAGTGTTTTTACAACGGATTCCGTTATTAACTTTGCCTACTGTTTATTACTCTAAAACCGCAGTCCTTTATAGAACACCCTGTCGAGCAGACCCCTATCCGTAACCATTCCAGAACCGTCCTAGGAATTTATCTACCTACACTAACAAGCGGGATATAGCAATTCTTGAAACATGTACAAAAAATTATAGTACAAAGTAACAATTTATTACGTTTAAAGTATCAGTCACTTAAAAAATCGTCACTATCGCTGCTGTCGTCACCCAGTTCTATTATCGTTAATTATTTTCTTCTTTTATTACTCGTTTTTCACAGTTATTCCAGCTTTGTACTGATATCTAAGCTACCTCTAGCTGAATTACGTTTAGGGTACTATCACTAAATTTTGGTGAAGTCTTATTTCTTCTTATACACGTTTTCAACTCAGAGCAAATCATCTCAATCGGGATAAATATGCAATGATACGGAGATAATCTCAAAATTTCATGTTCGTAGTCTTTATTAAAATGTTTCATTTTTAATAATTCCAGGATTTATTTTGTCGTGTAGCTCTCTTCAAAATATAAATCATTTTCGTACAGAAATTCTTTAATTTTTTCTTTATTTGAAGAAGTATTTGGAATTTTTCCAATTTGGACTGAATGTTGCGAGGCATTATCCAGCAGAATAACAGGATTTGGCGATAGTTTTGGCAACAGTTTATCAAAACATCCTCGCATGGTCAAAGCTCGAGAATCAATTACACAAATACGTACTTACTGGAAGGATCACAGTCACAAACCCCCGGAATACATACGAACATATTGCAATTTCGATTAAACTCTTTAGAACAACATATCAGCTGATGTTAAAATAAATGTTTCTACTTATTCGAAAATACCCGGCAGCATCAATGCTTAACCAAATTTCAAACGGTCCATTTACTTTTCAAATAAAAATCTCAGGCAAGACCTACTCAATGCAGAACAAACATCTGTTGGGACGGGTTTTACCACGGTCCTGCGAAGGTGTGCGGTTAAGGAACCGTAAAATACGGCAAAGCAATAAAAGCACTATATTTTTGGTCGTATTATACCAGCCATCGTACCGGGAAATACTCTCGACTGACCTTTTTCCTGCCCCTGCGTATCATCAGGAACACAGTGCAAGCGAGGAGGAGGACGATCATCGCCAGTACTCCGGTGATGAGACCGATGTAGGCCTGGGCAGTACTGGTGGGACTGGTGGCCGGCGTCACTTCTTTCCTCGCGTGAGTTGATTCCCCACTAGTGGCACCGGGATGCGACGTCGACACCACCGTCTCCGGTAAGTAATAGTACTTTTCCAGGTCGTCGATGGTCAGGTTGTTCGATAGCAATACTGCAATAGACCAATTTTACAATTACTTAGGTTCACAAAACGTTAAGTCTTACGGAACTTTAACTGTCTTTCATTTTACCGATGCTAAAGATAACATCTTGAGATGACAATACAAGAGCAAGTTTTGCAATTGTTCCGACTGAGTCGTTTTTTTGACATATACAATCTGTTTATCAAAATATGTTAATAATTCTTTTCTTTTTACTGAGAATATATGACTATTAATTTGGTACTGCTGACAAATCCGTAAGAATTGTATTAGAACATTACTGTGATTACAAACAAATTTAACTTTTATCATTAAACGGTTAAGCTAAGTATGTTGAACTAGTAGATCGCTCAATATTAAAATTTTTTAATTAATGTGTCTTCGTTTATGGATCTGCATTTGATTCCGTAGGATAGTTATCCTTTACAGATAAATATGACAGAGTATCGTACAAGATTCAAGAGATGAAGTGACTTAAAATCGCAAAAAACTGTGCACTACGCATAAGTTTTTTCATAAGTTCGTTGTATATTTGTTGTAAGGCTGAACAATAAAATTTACTATGCATCTTAGGAATATTTTAGTTCAGCTAGAATATCCATACGTCAGTTTCTCCATAATGTCCATGTCATGCACAGGCTTAGTATCATAAGTCGTAGGTAGCACTTACTTTTTTAATAATTCTTTTATCACTCTAGGAAATCGTACTCGGAGCCAAATCAAAGATCTTTATCACACATAATTTTTTCTTGTCACTTGTGTTTACGAATGGGTAACAATTAGCGGCCTCAACACAAAAAATCATAACTCAGAGTTTTATGCCTGTTTTACAGGTTGTCAACTAAAATTTAATTTTCGAGAACACAAAATTGAAAATCGAAAAATTCAAAAGAAGAAGTAAATCAAAAATGATAAAAAAAAACGAGGTCATAACCTTCATCGCATCTTGTGGGATTATATTATTACACGCTATGTTAAACAATCTTGTTACTTTCGAAAATCGATGAAATCGAATTTTTCGAAAGTATCTGTGTTCGTATAAAAATTTTATATCTCCGTTGGTACAGAAATAAAGTTTTACCAGGTATTTTTTAAAAATGTTTGAATTTTTTTTTTTTTGGTAATTTTAGCTTCCAGAAAAATATGTTTTCCGCCATATTCGTTTATCCGATTCGTAAAATTCTTTAACCGGCAGACGCAGAAGATCCAGTGCAACAACATTTATTTCAGACATTTTTTCGATTATATACAGCATTTTCAAATTATAGGCAAAAACCTAAAAAACCTAGAAAATTTTTCTTTTACAGAGTAAATTGTTAGCCGCAAATCAAAAATCGTAAAAAATATGGCTAATTGCTACAATTTTTGTATTTGCGATAGGCCGATCGGGATATTTGAAAAAATCCATATTGAAACCGCTATTTCGGGGGCTGGCAAGACGCGATGACGTCATTGATTATTACGGCGCACTGTATGGTTTCAGAAAAAACTTATTTTCTCGAAAACCATTTACCATTTTCACCAGGATGCGCGGAAAATCTAGAGCTATAACATCTACTTCGAATCAGGATTGTTATCATATACAGGGTGTGTCGTTTATGGGCAAAAAATGTAAATATCCTAAAAATTTCCGTTTTTGGGGGTAAATTATTGGCGATAAATAAAAACTGTTAAGGATGAAATAAAAATATCATTCGATTACACTATTATTTGTGCAAATTTTAATATTCACCGATGTTTGTCCCGCCCAGTGACGGGACGAAGGTTTAGAGATGGTTTAATGAAGGGACTGATTTGATAATACTGAAAACTGCCACTTTAAACTCTAAATCAAGTAAACAAAATAGAACCTTGCCAATCTCGTTTTTTAAAACTTCTAAAATAATTGATTTTACCCTGATTTTTTTTCAAGTGAAAATCTAGTGTTTAGATGAACTTAGGTTGGGTCGTATTATGTTTGCCGCGTTTTGGCAAAAAAAAAGTGGTTGGCTGACGTTGATTTCACTTTACCGTCCGTCTATTATAATATAAAGTCTGCTCGTGATGTTATAATTACACCGGTCGAAGTTGAACATCGCAGACGTTGAATCAATTAAACTAACGCTGATTCAATTATAACTCTTCGGACTAAATACCCGAAACCAGAAAGGCCAATAAGCTCTGGGCGGTGGCCGTCCACAAATTTGAAACTGTTGAAATAGCAGACGTGTAATCAGCGACGAAGCTCCGCTTATTTAATTCATAGGGACAAGCCTTTGTGTTCGTGTGATGCAATACTTACGTTTAGGTTCAAGGAAAAGCTCAATAGTTATCTGAGGTTAGTGTGGCCATCAATATGGCCAAAGTTGAATTCTGTTATTCTTTTTTTATGATTTCGGCAAGTAATAATTCTTCATTAATTAAATAGGGGTGTTTCTTCACAAAATGTTTGTTAAGTTTTAAGTTAAAGTAAAGGGAAACTTTGTAGCGTTGCTACTTTGGGCGAAAGGCTCCGGTGCGCACTCTTTGACTTGGGCCGAGGGTCAAAAGACGGGTCATAATTGACACGTTATACGCTGTTTGCTCGTCTGATTGTTTATTGCTGGTTATGTTCCGTCGGCACCGAAAAAGGTATTAAGTTAACATGGTTAATATCAATGGAAGTTCTGTATATTAAACATTTTCCTGACTCCCGTATTTTTCTGCATTGGGGATAAGTATAGGTAAGGTTCTTTGTTTCATGCCGATTGCAGGTCAATTACAGTTTCGATTGTCGTTATATCTTAACGTAGTTTAAGACTAGGTCACGTTTTTGGTAACTCAACCTGCAAGTTCCGTTTCGGCGTACCGTCCATCGAACAGACCCCGTAAACACTGCGGCACTAGTATCGTTTATAAACGAGCACTTCATCCGCGTACCATGTTGAAACAAGCAGAGTGAATTAGCGCACCAGGAGTAGGACTTGTCAAGGTCGTAGATCTTTAACCTAAATTTCAATATTCCAAATTTATAAGTAGAGTATTTAATGTACAGGGTAACTGATAAGTAACTTATCGCACATCAATTGATAATAAAATTTTACGTAGCGGAAATCCCTCGATCAAGTGGTTTACAGCTGTATATTATTTATTTTGAGTCAACGATTCGGGAGTTAGTATTGTAATTATGAGTATCCTTTAGAGGAGTAAATTTACTGTGTTGTTATATATTTTTTTAAATAATTAGTTAAAAAAACAAACATAATTTTTTTTGAACCTGTTTAATTGAAGACTTTTAACATAATTTCATTTATATTAATTTTATATTAATATTTTGTATTAAACAGCTTTTTCTACCTAAATCATTATTAATTATTTTAGTCATCTAATGTTTTTTGAAAATATTAAAAAGTTTTAAAATTACTTAAGTTTTTTGTTAACTTATCGATATTAGTTAACGTCCAACAGAAACCATGGAATTGGAAGAAATATATGAAGAATTCTTTAAGGAATGAGGATTGATGTTAAAGAAACGGTTTTACATAAAGAAAAGTATTTTTTCAATTGCGAAATCGCCAATCGGTCGGAATTTTATCCGATTCTCGTTTCCATCGAAGACAACAAAGGGCATCGCTACGCGTCGCCTCTATCCACTCCAACCGAATTACTGTCGCTCTTTTTAATCAAATTATCGGCGACTATTCAGTTAACGAACTTTCCTTTCCCCATCATTAACTAACAGTCTCGCTTTTAATCGATATCGCTGAAATCTCTGGGTGTCTCTTAGAATTGATCAATTTTTCCTTTTTGTATTTTTTAATTTTTTTTTCTGTATTCCCGATCAAAATTATTTTTCTAGCTTGTAGCTGATCAGTTTTCGAATTTGAGACGCATTGGCTGAGGCGAAGTGAGTTTTAATTAAGTCTTCTCAATTTCTGTCAATATTGTAAAGTTTTATTTATATATCATTTATTTATAAAAAATTGAACTGAGGAGGCTTTTACTTGATGAAAATCCATTTATCAAAATAAATAAGAACTGAAAGTTCAGATTTTGACATGACAATTGTTTCGACAACACCGTATCTTTACCAAATGTAATACCATATATACCGAAAAATGACAATAAAACCTTAAATTATGTTATGAAAATTTAAGTTCAATAAAGGAGAGGTATTTAAATCTAATTGAACGTCTAATTTGAATGTCTCATTTTGCTAATCTCTATGGCTTCCAATAAATTAAATTTTCTACTTTCTGTGGCTGTATGTAACTGAATTTTGATATATTACATACAGCCACAAAAAGTAGAAAATTAAATTTATTTGAAGCCATGGAGATTAATAAAATGAGACATTCAAATGTATTGCTTAACGATCAATTAGATTTAAATACCTCTCCTTTATTGAACTTAAATTCTGGCAACAACATTAATTAAGGTTTTATGGTCATTTTTCGGTATATATAGACAGGTAGTTTGTAAATATTACATTTGATAAAGACACGGCGTTGTCGAAACAATTGTCATGTCAAAATATATAATTTCGTGAAAATCTGAACTTTTAGTTCTTATTTATTTTAATTTATTTATATATTACATGTTTATATTTATTCATATCTACGTTCCCTTTGCCACTATTCTGCCTGCACTATGTTGCACCTTAGGAGGAAAAGTCTGTGCAGAAAATTAACCTTAAGATTCTTTATGATTTGTTTCTTTGTAAAAATTGTGACATAATATATATATATATATATATATATATATATATATATATATATATATATATATATATATATATATATATATATATATATATATATATATATATATATATATATATATATTCTCACGTATTGATTCACGGATGGAAAAATGTGATGACACTATATTCCGGGATATCATCCGTTCACTCGTTGAACTCCGACTGGAATCCTGCATCCGACTGGAATCCTGCAAATCTTGCATCCGACTGGGATCCTGCAGACGTTTCGCCAAAATCTCACTTGGCATCTTCAATGCTCGCGCTCCGAAAACACTTCGAACACTGATTTGC